GCCTCTGCTACAAACATGTACAGTGCATCCGAAAAGTATTCATAGCTCTTCACTTTTTCCACATTTTGTTTTGTTACAGTCTTATTCCAAAATTGATTACTCACAGTTCTACACACAACACCCCATAATGACAACATGAAAAAAGGTTTTTTTGAGATTCTTACAAATTTATATTAAAAACCTAAGAAACCACTTGTACATAAGTATTCACAGCCTTAGCATAATACTTTGTTGATGCACCTTTAGCAGCAATTACAGCCTCAAGTCTTTTTGAATATGATGCCACAAGCTTGGCACACCTGTCTTTGGCAGTTTTGCCCATTCCTCTTTGCAGCACCTCTCAAGCTCCATCAAGTTGGATGGGGAGTGTCGGTGCACAGCCATTTTCAGATCTCTCCAGAAATGTTCAATTGGATTCAAGTCTGGGCTCTGGCTGGGCTCTGGCTGGGCCACTCAAGGACATTCACAGAGTTGTCCTGAAGCCACTTCTTTGTTTTCTTGGCTGTGTGCGTAGGGTCGTTGTCCTGCTGAAAGATGAACCCTCGCCCCAGTCTGAGATCAAGACCGCTCTGGAGCAGGTTTTCATCCAGGATGTCTCTGTACATTACTGCATTCATCTTCCCCTCTATATGGACTAGTCTCCAAGTTCCTGCCACTGAAAAACATCCCCACAGCATGATGCTACCACCACCATACTTCACTGTAGGGATGGTATTGGCTTGGTTATGAGCAGTGCCTGGTTTCCTCCAAACATGACGCCTGGCATTCACGCCAAAGAGTTCCATCCCCGATTGCTCAGTTTAGATGGCCAGCCAGCTCTAAGAAGAGTCCTGGCGGTGCCAAACCTCTTCCATTTACGGATGATGGAGGCCACTGTGCTCATTGGGACCTTCAAAGCAGCAGAATTTTTTCCTTCCCCTTACTTGTGCCTCAAGACAATCCTGTTTCGGAGGTCTACAGACAATTCCTATGACTTCATGCTTGGTTTGTGCTCTGACATGCACTGTCAACTGTGGGACCTTATATATACAGGTGTGTGCCTTTCCAAATCAAGTCAAATGAACTGAATTTACCACCGGTGGACTCCAATGAAGCAGTAGAAGCATCTCAAGGATGATCCGTGGAAACAGGATGTACCTGAGCTCAATTTTGAGCTTCATGGCAAAGGCTATGAATATTTATGTACATGTCATTTATTTGTTTTTATTTGTAATACATTTGCAAAAATCTCCCCAAATTTTTTTTTTTCACGTTGTCATTATGGCGTTTTATGTGTAGAATTTTAAGGGGAAAAAAATAATGGAATCTATTTTGGAATAAGGCTGTAACATAACAAAATGTGAAAAAATTTAAGCACTGTGAAGGACGCACCCCATTTTGTAATACAAAAATGATTACAATTTGATTATACAAGTCAAATAATTAACACAAATATTTTAATATTACAAACAAAATATTATTAATTTAATATACAACAATTCTACATACAATAATTGATGACTGCTGTCGTTGTGTCCTTGGGCAAGACACTTAACCCCACGTTGCCTGAAGCCCTCCGCTGAAACACCAAGGCTGTTTCACAACTGACGGAGCAGCCATCTTCCTGTGGATTCACCGCCTGCAGAGGATCACCGAGGGACTGGTGCTATGAGCTATGAGTGGCAGCTCTCCTTGCCACCCCCTCGACCCAGAAATGGACAAAGGGATTGAAAATGAAATGAAATACAATAATTATATATTTTGTTTAATATCTTCCTATAATAATATAATATATAATATAATATTCTCCTTTGGGAGACACTGCCATAGACCGTAAATACTAATGGATGTAATCGCGCCTATCTCCACAATTGAAACTAATGTGTCACCACTAAAAATACTCCCCTGCAACACTACATTCCAACGCATCTGGAACATAGCGTTGGGCCAAAAGCAACTTTTGAACCATCCTGTAAAGATGTTTTCAAGGGGAAAGAAGAAGCCATACAAAAGCATTGGGTAATTCTCTTTCCAGGTACACCCCCACCAGCCAGGAGTGTGATTGCTTGTCAGCGCAAGTGTTCATGGACCTTTTGGAGCCGGGACCCGCCCCCACTGATCCATTTATTTTCTGCAATATTATGATTTGGGGCCTAAACCACAACATGTAAGGTGCAGTTCTAGTACCATGCTTTAGTCCAAACAATTCAATAAAACCACTGACAATGATTGTAGTGTTGATTGTTGTGGAAAGAGTCATTTGCAGACTGACTTGAACATTGCCTGTTGGACCCTAGCGTGGCTGGAGCTATAGCAGACTGTTTTGTTGCTGGGAGAAAGTAGCTCTTTCTTCAACTGTGAAAATACTAGTGGAATTCAGAATGTTATGATGTGGTGTCGGTGATCCCCGCTCAGTCTGCAGATGTGAAAAACAGTCTGTGTAATGTATTTTTCATCTGCCTTAAATATTTCTTTCATCCATTTGTCACAGCTCTGTCCAAACTGCCAGCACCTGTCCTCCTCATAACGTGATTATTGTTCCTACGAGTTTCTTCAATAGCAGCTGCTGTGGAATGAGTAACTTTCTATATTAAAGGTGGGGAACCTAACTTTCAAACAATGGAACTACGTGTATGCAGTCAAAAATTGAAAAACTGCTATTGAAGCATTTGACTTTGGACCAGAGCAGAGAAAATGGTCCTAAGTGGCTGCTCGACCTCTGCTCCTGTTCTAAAGGGCTTTTGCATCTTTTCTATTGTTAGCTTTTTAGAATGATCAATTTATTTGTTTTGTTTGTGTGGATGGATGTGTTTTCGCTACTACTGGACACCTGCATTTCTTCTGGGCTACACCTGGCACGTCCATGGAAGTAGATCCCTCTCTCAACACGCCTTCCAAAGTTTCTCACATTACTTCCCACTGGTTGTTGTCGTTCGGTGCTGACGCCATCACTTGCCGTGCTCCAAAGGCTGCACAGGGACTTTGTGTTTTTTCTCAGAGGGAACTTATGACAGAACTGTTTTCTGTCTTTTAAAATGAAATCATTTGCTCCAAGTTAGTTTTGAGATTTTTTTCTGTCAAACACAGTTCAAGATTATATACGCGCCATGTTAGTGTTTTAACATGAAAAATATTTCTCAATTCTGCCACCAGGCGGGAGTGTTGCTCCCTTTGCATGTATTCTTTCAGGGCTGACAGTCGAGACAAATAATATTGAGCATCATATTTGTTCTATGAGGCCCTTAGTTGGCTCTGAGTGCATTCGTCCTTCAATTGTGTGTGTGTGTGTGTGTGTGTGTGTGTGTGTGCATACACAGTGTGTGTGTGTGTGTGTGTGTGTGCATACACAGTGTGTGTGTGTGTGCGTGTCTGTGTAAGAGCTCAGCCTGACCTTTTGAAGCGTCCAGACCCCTCCACGCCCTCAGCTCCATCTTACCCTCCTTCATCCACCCACACACACATACATTCAGACACACAGTGAGTCACAGGAAGAGGTTCTTTGGGTCAGACGTGGACAAAAAAACACAACCATGGAGATGGATATTGACGTAAAAGGCCTTAAAGGAGACATATTTTTAAACACAGTCTGAGTTTTGTTCCTCTGTCCACACTAATATCAAGGACGTCTGGAACAAGTCTCCGTTCCTCTTACACCAACCTAATGTCAGGCGGCTGGGGGAGTTGGAGGGAGTCTGATGTGTTCCCAGGCGTTGGACATGGTTAGGACTCGCCGTGTGGTGATGGGGGCTGAAGGGGAGACAAAAGGGGCGGAGCTACGTGTTTGTTCCAAAAGTGCCTGCAATTAGCGAGGATGGATCTAAAGACAACTCCAGGTCTGTGACTGATGAGGAGTGATGTTATAACATGGTTAAAAATAACTACTGCAGTAGTCACAGGATAGGTATTCTGTTAGTAATGAATAATAAATAAAATATTTGGAATTGTATGCATTGTCTACAAAACTCAAGGTTATTTTAGACAATTTCAAATAGAGAGAAAAACTGGGGAGGGGGATCAGCTGCCAATACAAACGATACAGGATTACTCAAACATGTGTGAGTCAAGACAGGATTGTGCTTCTTACAAAATAGGACATAAGTCAGAGTACAGGACTTTCTTGAGAATGCGACTCCCAGATGTGCTTTTGGAAATGCACCAGCCCTGCCATGTGCTTTTACTCACCATATTTTGATTTATGTATTTGATAGGGACAGTGCACATTAATGAACATCTGTAAATACAGTGTAAATATGCCAGATTATGGTGAGAATCGGCAAAATGCTACTTTGCATCTTCAGCAGACAGACCCCTTCATAGACATGTGAAGCGTGTGTGTGTCGTGTGTGTCATGTGTGCAGACAGATCAGGCAGATGTGTCTCAGGAGGAAGGCTCCCAGACAGACGCGTGTCGCACACACAGCACCGCGGACCACTCAGATACTGGACATTTGATATATCTGTTTTAGGGACCGTCAAACAAATGAAAGTCCTCAGATATGAAAACAACATTTCCAACTACTTCATATTTTGCAGTTTAAAAAAATTGCCCAAGCGTCTCCAAACTTAGGCCTGCGGACCTCTGAATCATTCTATTTGACCTTCGGTCTTGCTAACCCAAAGTAGTCTTTGAGAACATAAATGTTCACAATGACTTCCGGTGGGTGACCCGAATGGAGTGCACGTGTTGAGCGAGCTCCGGCAGAAACCATCGTTTTATCACCAGTAAGCCCTCTACCAACGCTTTTTAATTGTCAACTTGCAATCGAGAACCCGTCTATGATTCAATTTACACAATGCCGCCTCCTAAAGTCGCCAAAACTGCAGAAATGGAAGATGCTAGGGCTAATGCTAGCAGCATAACAATGGAAGCTATCTCAGCCCTGCTAGAGAAGCATCGTGAAACACTCTCCGCTGAATTTAAGGCTTCGCTTACTGGGATGGAAACTAAACTGGATCAACACAAACTTGTTATGGATGACCACGACCAGCGCATATCCTCTTTGGAGCTATCATCTGATGACATGAGCCAGAGAGTGAGCGATCTTGAGAACGCCTGCTGCGCTCTCCGCGAGGACAACTCCAAGCTTAAGGCAAAAGTTTTGGACCTGGAGAACCGAAGCAGACGTCAAAATATACGAATTCTCGGGCTGACGGAATCTACTGAAGGAGCTCGTCCTACAAACTTTTTCCCACTGTGGCTCCAAGAAGTGTTTGGGAAAGATATTCTCCCTTCCCCACCGGAGATTGACAGGGCGCACCGCACGCTAAACGCTAAACCAGGCCCGGGAGAGCGACCGCGGCCGCTCATTATGTGACTGCATCGATTCCAAACGAAGGAACTTATCATCAGAGAAGCACGCCGTAAAGGGATGTTTGACTACCGTGGCCAAAGGATTCGGATCGTTGAAGACTACAGTGCTGAAGTTGTGTCTCAGCGAGCGCAATACAGAGACGTAATGGCGGAACTTTACAAGCAGGGAATGAAGCCAGCTCTGCTCTTCCCAGCCCAACTCCGCATCACTCTGCCGAGCGGAAACAAGAAGTGGATGAGCAGTGTGGAAGAGGCGCAACAGTACATTGACGACCAGACCCATCGGAGAATGAGACAAACATAAAACGTACCTATTTGTAGATTAACCCTGGGCTTCACACTGGGTGAGATTGTACTATACAGCCACGGGACATTCAACTATTTGGTATGTACCACTGTGCTAATTTGACATTCCCTAGCTGGCTATTTTCTTTCTGTGTTATATTATGTTTTTCGGAATTTCTGTTAAGATTATTGGTGCATGTGTGCTTTTGACATTTATATATTTCTGTAACTAAATTGCTTGCGTTGGGAAAGGCTTTTTTATTTATTACACATTTGATTGCCGGAGTTATGCGTTGTTGATGGTTAGCATCATTCGGAAGTCTAGACACCTGGAAGGTGTTGTATTTTTGGAGCTTGCTGCCTTTTTTTTGGGTGTTTTTGTTTTGTATTTTTGAATTTTTAAATTGCAGCTTTCCATGTGGGGGGAGGGGGGCGGTTACTTGTCATCGCTTACGTGGGTGCAAACTCTTACATACTTATAGAAATACACTGGTTAACAGGTTGTCATGCTATCTTCTAAACATGCTGTACAATGGACTTGCTTAATATAGTGAGCTGGAATGTAAGGGGCCTGAACCACCCGGTCAAACGAAAGAAGATTTTCTCACATATAAAACAGCTTAAAGCCAAAGTACTTTTCTTACAAGAAACTCATATTCGCACATCAGACCTAAATAGATTACTACGCTGGAATGGCCAATGTTTCCATTCCACATTTCGATCCAAAGCACGCGGGGTTTCAATTCTTATTTCCCACGATATTCCCTTTGAAATGCATGATGTGATATCGGATACTAATGGTCGATACATAATCATCTCGGGAAAACTGAACAATACATTGGTTGTTCTAGTAAATGTGTACGCACCAAATATAGATGATGCAGGGTTTTTTAAACGCCTGTTCTCATTATTGCCAGATTTAAATGTATACCATCTCATTCTTGGAGGTGACCTCAATTGCTGTCTTAACCCTCTTCTGGACAGGTCTTCAACCAACCCCAGCACGGCGAACAAATCTGCCAGTCTCATTAATGGATTCCTTACTGATTTTGGGCTCTGTGATATCTGGCGCTTCCTACATCCAAACAACAAGGAATTCTCATTTTTCTCTCAAGTACATCTTTCATACTCTAGAATTTTCTTTTAGATAATAAACTACTCTCTTTAGTTAATACTTGTGAATATCAACCAATTGTTATATCAGACCACGCCCCTTTAGCATTGTCTGTGTCGCTCCCTGGCTCTTTTTCTGGGATCAAGAGATGGCGCTTCAATTCAACCTTACTTTCAGATGCAAAGTTTGTTGAGTATATTGAGAAAGAGATTGCCTTTTTCATAGACACAAATACTGATCCGAATATTTCCACCCTCATATTATGGGATGCACTGAAGGCCTACCTTCGGGGGCAGATCATAGCTTATACAGTTCGGATGAAACGCAAATCAAACCAAGAACGAAATGACCTTGTGCGGCAAATCGGTATAATAGACAAACAATACTCTCAAAATAAAGACCCTGACTTATACAAAAAACGAACTGAACTGAGGACCAGATTTGATTTATTAACTACGTATCGGGTTGAGCAGTTGCTCTTAAAAAACAAAACCAGGTTTTATACATACGGGGATAAGTCCGATAAATTGCTGGCCAATCAGCTCAGGGGATCCAGATCCAAACAGGCCATTACCAAAATACAACTTGACACTGGCCAAATAACTACTGATCCATTGGAAATTAATACTGCCTTTAAAGATTTCTACGGACAACTGTACACTTCTGAATTTTGTTCCGAACCTAATGTAATGAATCAGTTTTTAAATGGTCTTAATGTCCCCTCACTATCTAATGAAATTGCAAAAACGCTGGAGGAACCAATTTCTGAACCTGAAATAGTTAAAGCAATCCGTGCAATGCAGTCAAACAAGTGTCCGGGCCCAGATGGATTCCTTTCAGAATTTTTAAAAACATTTTCAAAATTACTTTCACCATTACTCTGTTTGGTTCTCTCTGAGTCTTGTAAGCTCGGTCATCTTCCTCAATCCTTTTCGGAAGCATGTATCACTCTTTTAGCCAAAAAGGGGAAAGATGCAACGAGATGCTCTTCATACAGACCCATATCTCTTCTCAACACAGATGCCAAGGTCCTGGCAAAAGTATTGGCTCACAGGCTGGAGAATCTCCTTCCTACCATCATTTCTAATGACCAGACCGGTTTTATCAAAAACAGGCAATCATATTTCAATATTAGACGTCTTTTTGACATTATCTACACTGCCCAGGAAAACCCGCCCGAGTGCGTCGTCTCTATTGATGCAGAGAAGGCCTTCGATCGGGTTGAGTGGCCTTACCTGTTCGCCGTGCTGGGAAAATTTGGATTTGGACCCTCGTTCATCTCATGGATCAGATTGCTCTACACTTATCCCACTGCTATGATCCGTACAAATTCACAACTATCTAGTCCCTTTAGATTATACCGTGGTACACGTCAAGGGTGCCCATTGAGCCCCATGCTTTTTGATTTGGCTATAGAACCACTCGCCATAGCACTCCGTACATCCAACGATATCACTGGAATTTTTAGGGGGGGTGTGGAACATAGAGTTTCCCTTTACGCAGACGACCTCTTGCTCTATGTTTCAAACCCAAGCGAGACTGTCCCTTCTGTTCTTGGCTTACTTAATCACTTTGGCACCTTCTCAGGCTACAAATTGAACATTGACAAAAGTGAACTGTTTCCTATTAATGACAGTGCACAGGTTCTAGATTATTCTAATTTCAATTTCAAAGTTGAATGTGAAAAGTTTTCTTACCTCGGGGTGACTGTTACCAAAAAGTACAAAGACTTATTCAAAGAAAATGTTGCCATCCAATTGAATCAAACCAAACAACTTATGTCACAATGGTCTCCCTTATCAATGTCGTTGGTGGGTCGTGTCAATTCTATCAAAATGATAATTTTTTTTTTTGTAACTTTTTTTATTGTTATTTGTTACAAGAAACTTTGCTTCACACAATGTTAACATTTTTTTTTACATATTTTTGATAACCAGAAAAAAACAAACCAAAAAATAGACAGAAAATTAAAAATAAAACAAAAAGAAACACAAATAGCAAAGGGGTGCATAAAGTATTCCAAATGATTTATACAGAATCATACAAATTCCGGGCGTTTGGGTATAATGTACGTCTTCCATTTTATCCATATTTTGTCAAATTGTGCATTTTGGAGCCTGTAATATGAGGTTATTCTTTCCATTACAAAAATAGAATACACCAAATTGTGCCAGTCATCTATAGTCGGAACCTCTGGCTTAAGCCATTTTCTGGTGATGGATTTACGAGCTGCTAAACTTAACATTCCAAATAGGCGTTTTGTAGCAAAGTCCGTATTCACAGAGTCAAGACAGCCGAATAGCAGTTCGTCCCAGTTTAACGCAAACTGCAACTTCAACATTATTCGGATCTCAGATTGAATATTGTTCCAAAAATTCTGGATTAATGAACACAACCAAAACAGATGCAGGTGGTCGGCCCCCTCTGTACCACAACTTCTCCAGCAGCTGGACGAGCTTGAATAGTGAGAACTTTGTGCTGGTGTTATAAAAAACCTGCTCAAGCACTTTCAGCCAAAGCATCTCCATGAATTTGCACTCGTGATTTTCCATTGAACAGCACAGTGTTTAGACCAGGTTTCCGACGTCATAGCTGTATTTGCCTTTAACACCCATTTTTGTTTTATATATTCTGTATTCATTTTGGAGAGCGCCTGCAAGCCCTTATATAATTGAGAGATTAATTTAGAACCCAAGTCGCCCTGATAAGCCCTAATGAATATGTTTAAGATTGGCGTGTGAAATACTTTTTTATCCTTTGACAAGTAATTATTAATGTAGTGACGAATTTGTAGGAACCTGAAAAAGTCATTTTTCTCCAACTCATAACGTCTCTGAGTAGAGTTAAAATCCCTCATGTTCTCCTTATAAAAAAAAGTGCAATATGCAGTCAAGCCTTGACCAGTCCAGCTTTTGTACCTCATATCCAGTTTGCTCGGCACAAAATCAGGGTCACTAGGGGCCCACCTTTAGTATTTTGACCTGATCAAAAAAGTTGTGTTTTTTAATCAATTTCAGCCACAGCTTCAATGGTAAATTTATCCATTGGTTATCAAGCTGCATCTGTTTCCTAATGAGTCTTTTGTCCCCCAGTATGGCCGGGAGTGGACAACTGTCAGAGAAGCTCTTTTCTATTTCTTTCCATCTGGCTTTGAATTCTGAGTTGCACCAGCACACAAGGACTCTAAACTGGGCTGAAGTGTAATAATCCCTTAAACAGGGCAGGGCTAGTCCTCCTCTCTCTTTTGGCAATTGAAGAGTCTTTAACCTTAGTCTCGGTCTTTTCCCTTGCCATATAAATTTAGAAATTAACTTATCCCAATGGTTGAATTGATCATTAGAAATTTGAATGAGGAGTGTTTGGAAAAAATACAACAGTCTGGGTAGAATGTTCATTTTTACTGTCTCCACCCGGGATTCAAAGTTAAATATAGGTAGCAGGTCCCATCTTCTGATATCATTATGAATTTTTTCAATCAAGGGTTTATAATTTACCTCAAATATTTTAGATAGATCTTTTGGAATATTCACTCCGAGATATTTTATACATTCCGAGTCCCAATCAATCTGGATTTTGGAGGTTATCGAATGACTGGGATTGTAATTGAATCTAAGTAATTGTGTTTTATGGATGTTGAGCTTATAGCCAGATACAGAACCGAACAAGTCTAGATATGAAATAAGATTGGGAAAAGAGGAGTCTGGATCTGTCAGATAGATTACAATATCGTCAGCGAATAATGAGATTTTATGTTCGTGACCAAACATTGTCACTCCAGAGACATGCTTATTATGGATGAGGCCTTGGCTCAGTGCCTCAATAAAGATGGCGAAGCATAAGGGACTTATTGGACAACCTTGTTTATTACCCCTCTCAAGATTGAATGTTTTGGAAAGGGCACCGTTAACTTTAATTCTTGCTTTTGGACTCGAATAAATAGCTTTAATTACTCCTATGAATGATTCGTGGAATTTAAATTTTTCTAGGACTTTGTATAGGAACTCCCAATTCACACGGTCAAACGCCTTTTCTGCGTCAAGACTTAAAAGCAACATTTTATCCTGATTTTTTATCACATGGTCAATTATATACAATGTTCGGCGAATATTATCTTGTGTTTGTCTCCTTTTGATAAAACCTGTCTGGTCGAGGCTTATTATTTGGGGTAAAATATTTTCCAATCTCTTAGAAATAATATGTGTGAATAATTTATAGTCTTGATTGAGGACACTTATGGGACGGTAACTCCCACAATCCAGTCTGTCCTTTCCCTCCTTCGCTATCAAAGAGATGGAGGCATCGTTCCAAGATGAAGGAATTTTTCCGGATTTCAGAACATAATTGAATGTGGCTCTCAAAATTGGGGCAATAAGGTCCTTTGTCTCCTTATACCACTCAGAAGGGTAACCATCCGGTCCAGGCGCTTTATTAGTTTTAGAGTCAGAAATAGCATTTTAATTTCGCATTCAGTAAATTCAGAAATCAAGGATCTGTTTTGCTGTTCACTTACTTTTGGCAAATTTACTTTCTCCAGAAATGCTTCCATTAGGTTGCTGTCTACTTTGGGTTGAGAATATAATTGTTCAAAAAAGGACAAAAATGACTGTTGTACATCTTCCAATTTAGAAACTATGGTATTTGTTTGGGGATGTTTTATTTTGTGTATAGCATTGTCTAATTGCTGCTTTTTCAGTTTGAACGCCAGTAATTTAGCTGATTTTCCTCCGGCTTCATAGTACTGCTGCCGCATAAAGGTCATTTTTTTCTTTATCTCACTTGACATGATATTGTTGATTTCATTCTTAATTGTATTAATATCAGGTATCAGTTTTGGATTTAAATTAGCCTTATGCGCGTTTTCCAAGGTTTTTAATTGTGTTTGCAAGTCCTTAAGATGTTTATTTCTTTTCTTTTTTAAATTAGAGCAGTATCCTATGATTTTGCCCCTCATGACAGCTTTCAAAGCGTCCCATACAATTATAGGGGCAATATCTCCGGTATCGTTCTCAGCTAAATAGTTTTTGATATCTTCCCTAATTTGTTCCCTCATGGGATTTAGAATGCTTGTATTTAACCTCCAGGTAGTATCTCTTTTCTCCTCACTGATTATCATCTCCATATAGACAGGGGCGTGATCAGAAACGTCCATAACACCTGTTTTACAGTTAGTCACTCTATGAAAGTCATTTTGAAAAATGAGGAAATAATCCAGTCTAGAATAAATATTATGAGGATGTGAGAAGAAAGTATAATCTCTACTTGATGGATTGAGTTCTCTCCAAACATCAAGGATCTTGAGATTTTTCATAGACAATTTTAAATTTCTGGTAATTTTATTCATCCCTTGTGTCTGTGAATTAGAGGAGTCAAGGAATGGATTGAGACGGACATTTAAATCACCTCCCAAGATCAAAATGCCTTCTGTTTCCAATGTAATCAATTCAAAAATGCGTTTATAAAACTTCCACTCTGACCCTGGTGGAGCATAAACATTTATTACTGTTATCAAAGCGCCCTGTAAATAGCCTTTGACCAGTACATACCTCCCCTCAGAATCCTCTTTCACTTGAGTACACTCAAAGTTTAATCTATTTGAGATCAGTATCACAACCCCTCTCTTTGAGCTTTGGGGGCAGGAGGAAGAAAATTGTTTGAATTTCCATTTCTTCAGTTTCTCATGTTCTGAATGAGTTAAGTGCGTTTCCTGTAGTAGTGCCAATTCAATTTCCTCTTTTTTCAACTTCGACATAATTTTGCTCCTTTTAACTGGATTTCCCAGCCCATTTACATTATATGTAGCTATTTTAACTTTTCTGAAATTTTGCATGGATAGACAAAGAAAATAAATCGTTCTGTAAAGATAAGTTTACCCCTAAAATAAAATAGAACAGATAAAGAACATAACTAAAATAAAACAAAAACCTTAAACGGAACAAAGTGACTCCCAAAAGGAAGGCCAGAAACTTGGCCACGGGGAAGGGAAGAGCTGCTCTGTCCTCTTGTACTGGAGCGCCCTCTTCAGCCTGTTGGCTAGTGCGTAAGTCCGTGGGGTCTTTCATTGAGGTCCCACCCATCTACAATAAACTCAATACCAATGCCTTTGTCATAATAGCACATAACAATTAACAAGATTATCTTAGCCGAAAACAGAACAGTAATTGTCACCAGGAGAATGATTTACTTTTTTAGACCAGTCTGAGACCTTATGCCGTGTCGTCACTCTGGCGTCGGAATGCCTGGAGCTTCTCTCTGAAACTTGGCATCTGGGCCATGCCCCCTTTATTCACTTTTTTACCGTACGATTGCCACATCCGTTGTTTTATCTGCTCCAACAGCGTAGTGTGGCCTTTGACAAGGTTTACCGACAAACCTCTCTTCACCATATCCTCGGTCGCCTCCTGTGCAGAGTTGTACGTAACAATGCCTTCGCTGTAATGCACTCTCAGCCTGGCCGGGAAAGGCGTCTGGAAGCGTATGTTCTTCTCCCTGAGAGCCGCTTTGGCTGCGGTATACTCCTTGCGCCTTTTTTGTATTTCGGGGGCATAGTCATTGTCCAAAAAAACCTTCTTGCCTTGAAAATCAAAGCCTCTCGCTTGCCATGCTCGCCTGAGAATGTCCTCTTTTAAGCGATAACCTGCAAACTTGACCACGAAGGACCGTGGAGGGGCCCCGACGGGTGGTTTTACTCCCAGGGCACGGTGCGCCCGTTCGATGTTAAATGCGGTGGTCGGGGGGATTCCGAGGCCGTTCCTTAATAATGACTCAACAAAGTTAATAACAGACATCGCTCCCTCTTCTGCCCCCTCAACCACTCCGTGAATCCTGATGTTCTCACGCCGTGAGCGCCCCTCCAGATCCGTCAACTTAGCTTCAACTTGGGTTTGGAGCTTTGCTAACTCCAGTAGCATCCTCCGAAGCCTGTATGCTAGTCTCCGCCTCCATTATTCGTTCCTCCGCTTCGTCCATCCTCTTGGCGATGCCGTTTATGTCCTCTCTTATATTGTCGAACTGCTCCTTGTTCTCCCGTCTGAACTCACGGAGCTCTTTTAAGATTAGATCAAAGTTGGCACCATCACCACTTCCTATCTTTGGTTCGTCTTCCATGTTGCTAGTGCTACTAGCATTGCTACCTTGCGAGAGAGCGTCCTCCTCCACTACACGCTGTTCTGTTCTCCGCGAGACGCTCCCCTTACGCTTGTTGGGCATTTTTGCACCGTTATGGTACCCTACGCACACTGCTCAACAAAATCTCGAATTCGAGTTAGTTTTAGGGTATAAAAATGAACTTGTAGACGGGAGCTCTTTCTCTATGCCGTCATGTCGACGCCCACGTGACCGGAAGTCCAAAATGATAATTTTACCAAAATTTCTTTACCTTTTTCAATCCTTGCCCATTTTTATCCCTCAGGCTTTTTTTCAGCAGTTGGACTCACTCATTACCTCATATGTTCGGCAGGGCAAGCGACCACGCTTGAGCAAGATTTATCTTCAAAAATCTAAATTTAGTGGGGGTCTTGCATTGCCAAATTTTCAGTTTTATTATTGGGCGGCCTATCTGAGGTGTCTGGTGCACTGGTCGTATTATTACAGCCAACCGGAATGTTCCAACTGGGTTGCTCTGGAGCTTTGTGCACAGAAACTTTCTCCTTTGTCCTCAGTGGGCTCAGCCTTACCTCTGCCCCCTACTACTCTATTTGACAACCCAGTGGTCAAACACACACTGAAGATCTGGGGCCAATTCAGAAGACATTTTGGACTCAAAGGTTTCTCATTGTGGAGCCCTATTCTTAACAATATTCTTTTCAAACCATCAATTATGGACATTGGTTTTCAGGTATGGCATAGACATGGGGCCAAACGCTTTAAAGATTTGTTCATGGATGGCACTATGGCGTCATTTGTGCAGCTGAAAGATAAATTTAATCTCTCTCATTCAGATTTTTTTCGATATCTTCAGTTGCGACACTTTCTTGAACAGCACTTGTCAAACACTCCTGAAGCTGCACAAACTCTAACTGTAAACACAATTTTAGCACTGAAACCATCAAAAGGCCTCATTTCTAAATTGTATAATATGATGCTCGATCACAAGATCCCACTGACAGACATTATTAGAGGAGCTTGGGAGGTTGATTTGGGTCTTACCATAACTGACTATGCCTGGCGGTCTGCCCTCAAACTAGTGCACTCATCCTCACTTTGTGCTCGACATCACTTGATTCAATTTAAAGTAGTTCATAGAGCACACCTTTCAAAGGCAAGGCTGTCCATTATGTATCCAGATGTGAGCCCTCTATGCACCAGGTGTAATCTGAGTGAGGCCTCTTTGGGCCACATGTTTTGGTCTTGCTCACAATTGCACAACTTTTGGAGATACATTTTCAACACTCTGTCGCAAGTATTCTGTGTCAGACTAGAACCAAATCCAGTATCAGCACTTTTTGGGGTATTTGAGCACCATGTACATCTCACTGTTGTTAAAAGAAATTCTCTAGCTTTCACTCTACTTCTGGCGCGTCGAGCCATACTACTCAAATGGAAAGATGCTACTCCCCCTTCCCATTCACAGTGGCTACAGGATGTTTTGTCCTGTCTAAAACTTGAAAAACTAAGATTCTCACTCAATCAAGCCTCTAATGCCTTTGACGATATATGGGGAAATTTTCTACGGCATTATCCGGCCCTCTAACAGTATACTGCAGCGTTAATTGTTAAACCTGGTGTAAATAGTTTGTAGCGATGACAGGGTGGGTGGGATTCTTTTGGGTGTTCTTTTTATTTAAATTTTATTTGTAACCATTTTATTTTACATATTCTCATGTTATAACTATCCTGAAGTGAAACACTCACATTATGACAATCTGCCAACTGTTAGTCTTATTGAGCCTTGTTTTTGAGCTTGTTTTTGACATATATGTATAATTATACTTTGAAAACAATAAAAAACATTTGATTTAAAAATAAATGTTCACAATGTCACCAGCCAAGTTGTTCACTTTATTTGTAGACACTGACTTTTGTTTTTGATCGTGTTGCATCAAACCCACTGTCTCATTAGCTACCTTAGCCTAGCCTGGCCTTAGCCTAGCCTGGCCTTAGCCTAGCCTGGCCTTAGCCTAGCCTGGCCTTAGCCATCCGTACACTCCGTTCAATCATCATTTCACTGCATGTAACGTCTGGGCCTGGTCCCTGTGTTAGCGATTACAATCGGTTGAATTTCGACCGACCATTCAGAGAGCGCGGGAGGCAGGTGTTGTAGTTAGTTGTGGGTGATGTCAAGAGTTTGCGCCGAACGGGCAGGTTGTAGTTTAGTAATGGCGAAAAATGCGATAGTAAAGTAATCCGGTCTGGTTCTATCAAGAAATTGAAGCCGGAGCAAGAGGAATGTTTAGCAAATGTAATCGCTGGAAAAACATTGTGGCGCTACTCCCCACGGGCTCCGTTAGCGGCAAAGGAGATGGCTAAAGCTAGGCTAAATGCTATATGCTAACAATAGACTCTGACTTTTTTTTTTCTCTCTCCTCTTCTCTGCTACTACTATTGCTGCCTCCAACAAGCCTTATAGTTCCAACACTTCATCCATAACTACAGTACAAGCATATGCTTGTGTCTGGGTATATCGGTTGGACCATTTTTTGTATTTTTGTATTTTTTGTTTATTTGATATCATTTATTTATCCTTATTATTATTATTCTTACTTGTCTCATTATGCATTTACTTCTCTACTATTCCTTTATATAACTGCAATTCATCCCATGTCTTATCTACCTATAGGTTAAAAATTGCCATTATTCATCCAGCACTATGCTTATTATCTGTCCTTTTTGTTTTGTTTTTAGTCCACATATTAATAATAATGTTGCACAATGTGATGTCCCGCACACACACACTCACACACACACAATCTGCTGTATCCCTTAAAATATGTATCTGCACATATTCTTGTTTGTTTGTTTGTTGAATGTATGTTACCTTGCAAAATAAAAAATAAAGCTTAAAAAAAACAAAAGACTCGGGCGCACTGCATACAAACTCGGATCAATCGTTTCAATCTGCAAAAGGAGTTCATCCTCCCACCTGTTTACGGAGCTCAATGGAGCAAATCCAGACCTTAGTATGAAATGTCATTTGTACTATGGTGTGGTACGACCAGACTAACTTTAGCCTTGGTTAGTACTGTGATGGGAGACCTCTGGGAACAGGTGCCACAGTGGGGTGGCTGTAAAGTGCCAAATTGTTGTTGTGTGTGAATGATTAATGGTAGTTGGAGGGGCCAATGGCACAGAAGGGTTGCCTCGCTCCTGTCAATACCCCAGGGCAGCTGTACCTAGTAGTAGCTTTTTACCACTGTGTATGAGGTGAAAGAATAATTACATGTGAAGTGTTTTTGAGAATCCAAAAATGCGCTATAAGAAACTGATGCATTAGTATTATTATTATCATGATTATTATGGGCCATCCTCATTCTGTCATAGCTAAAGCTAAAGCTCAGTACTGCCAGAATCCAGTCAAAGCAGTTTTACAATCGGGGTTGTCGGCCCTTGGATAAGCCTGGTAACTAAAGTGCCACTCTGACTACAGTCTATCTGTCAATTGTATCCCACAAACGTCACCATTCCCTTTCAAGAAACTGAACAATTCCTGATCTTTTCAGTCGTTTTGTTGTGAGTAGATGTTTTTGAATTTTGCCAGAACCATTTCCATTTGAACAAAGTCTATCAAGATTTGCTCCAGTTAAACTATCAATTTGTTTTTACACATTAGATCAAAGATTGGACATGGAATTGGGTCCCTACTGGCCCATCTCTAGTGTACATAGAGTCACCTCAACCAACCTCTTTATTTCTGGACTGAATGATTTTTAACAACACGCTAACATCACTAGAGGATGTTTGCTCCACAGCCTTTTCAAATAAGCGGCGGCCTTTCCCAATCTCCTCAGAGGGAGATAAATGTATTTGGTGGCACGGGTTCAAAGTTATCTGTGGAAAAGAGCCAAAACCACTGCTTTCAGACACTAACAGCCTCGCGATGCAATTATACACATGAAGAAGGCAGCATTTTGGAACAAGATTTAAAAACGAATGCAGCAACAGTTTCAGCGTTTGCAGATTCTGACCACGCACACCACCAGCGGAGAGGGACTTGCTTTGCTTCAGTGTCGGTTTGTCACTGAAACGACATATGCAAATGATTCTTATTTGAGTTTGAAACCATGTCACAACATTGTTCTTCATCAAAAACAGACATGGAGTTGTTTTTTTAAATCCAATATTCAGAGCTTCTCATCTCCCCACCTCTTCTGTCCTCATACTCTGTTTTCAAACTTGTAAAGCTACTTTTTTTTTTTACCCCCGTAAGGCAATTCAGCCTCTGCATTTGACCCATCCTGATGCCACTGGCCGTCTATCAGGAGCAGTTGGATCTACAGCCTCAGTCCTGGATCTACAGCCTCAGTCCTGGATCTACAGCCTCGGTCCTGGATCTACAGCCTCAGTCCTGGATCCACAGCCTCAGTCCTGGATACACAGCCTCAATCCTGGATCTACAGCCTCAGTCCTGGATCCACAGCCTCAGTCCTGGATCCACAGCCTCAGTCCTGGATCTGCAGCCTCAGTCCTGGGTCTACAGCCTCAGTCCTGGATCCACAGCCTCAGTCCTGGATCCACAGCCTCAGTCCTGGATCTACAGCCTCAATCCTGGATCTACAGCCTCAGTCCTGGGTCTACAGCCTCAGTCCTGGATCCACAGCCTCAATCCTGGGTCTACAGCCTCAATCTTGGATCTACAGCCTCAGTCCTGGATCTACAGCCTCAGTCCTGGATCTACAGCCTCAGTCCTGGATCCACAGCCTCAATCCTGGATCTACAGCCTCAGTCCTGGGTCTACAGCCTCAGTCCTGGATCTACAGCCTCAGTCCTGGATCTACAGCCTCAGTCCTGGGTCTACAGCCTCAGTCCTGGATCTACAGCCTCAGTCCTGGGTTTACAGCCTCAGTCCTGGGTTTACAGCCTCAGTCCTGGATATATACAGCCTCAGTCCTGGATCCACAGCCTCAGTCCTGTGCCTCACTGTCGTTGCTCACTCTTAATACTGTTTGTGTCTATCACTAGTTTTCACATGTGTTTTAAGCTTTCACATCCTTAGATCAGTTTTCATCCTTGGATTAGTTCACAAAATGTAATTAATAGAGCGTAAAAATCAGAATCAGAATCATTTATATTGCCACGTAAGTAACAGGAGGTCACAGACTTGGAAAATTGCTTTGGGTCAGTGCAACAGTCAGAAAGAGAGGTAAGGGTAGAGAGGCATAATTGAAAATAAAGAATAAAAAAAACACTTCTGAGGAATAAATTTAAAATTAAAATTTAAAATAGAGTTACAGATACTATTTACAATATACAGTGCACATGGTTCACACAATGTAAGGTGACAGCAGTACAGTGAAGTAAAGTGACGTATGATGGGCAGTAAAGTGACTTTATAAAGGGCGGGGGGACAGGTTAAGAAGTGTTCAAGAGTCCAACAGCAGAGGGGAAGAAACTGTTCTTGTTCTAGTCCTGATGGACCGCAGCCTCCTGCCTGAGGGGAGTGGTTGGAATAGTCCATGTGCAGGGTGAGAGGGGTCGGCTGTGATACGACCAGCCCGGCCTCGAGCTCGGGCGACGTACAGGTCCTGCAGCGATGGAAGGCTGCGGCCGATCACTTCCTCTGCAGAGCGCACAATGCGCTGTAGTCTCTGTTTGTCCCTGACTGTGGCATCACAAAAATGTGATGTTTGTTGGTGTTCCCGCACTGATCTTCACTCAGGATGGATACAATAATCATCCGTTGGCGTTCTGGATATGTTGAACATCCCTCAATATTAGCGTCCATTCAAACAATGAGATCTCCTAATGTTAGATTCCAATCTCTTACAAAATGTAATTATTTTAAAGATCACATTTAAACAGTTCAACAGTTTAGGGGCGACAGTAGCTCAGTTGGTAGAGCATTGGCCTTAAAGACCTTATGACGGGTTTGATTTATTTAGAAATACAGTTTTAATACCATTTTATATTAGAAGAGAACTACTAAAGGTTTCAAAATCAGTTGTTGTTTTTTTTGTCTGATCCCCCCAAATCGAAATAACCCGATAGCAACGCCCTTAGAAACGAAAAAACTTCACAGCCCTTGGTGACGTCAGAACGGGTACGTTTCAACGCTGTAAGTTGTTTACAATTTGGTATTCGTTCTTTTTTCGCGGATATTCAAGATGACAAGGCCGTGTACAGCGAGTATGAGATAACTACTAGAATGTATAATTTTGTTGTCACTCAGATAGTCCAGTGGTTGTGTCGATGGACTGACCATCCAGATACTTGGGTTCAAATCCCACCTCGGACACTTTTTCACACCCAAAACGGCAATTTATGTGTAGTGAGCAATTGTCACCTGTAGAGGGCAGTATTGTGTTGGGCATCAGTGGAGAGAAGAGAGAAAAGGCAGTCCTGTGGCATAGATCCATGGTTTTCAATGCATGGGCGTAACCCGCTATGACGTCACACACAGGTTAGAGCATAGACAACTTCAATAATTAAATTCATGAAAAACACGTTCTTTTTATAAAATATAGGATTTTTTTTGCCGGAATCTCTTTCAAATTGACATTGTCATGCAATTTTGATATCCACTATTTTTTTAAAAAAAACCTGTCATAAGGTCTTTAAGGCCAGAAGGTCGTGGGTTCAATTCCCACCTCTGCACCTTCTCCACCGACTCCCACTGATGACTGCTGTCGTTGTGTCCTTGGGCAAGACACTTAACCCCACTTTGCCCAAAGCCCCCACTGAAAGATCAAGGCTATGCTCACACTCAGAGAGCAGCCGTCCTCCTGTGGACTCACCACCTGCAGAGGGTCAGTGAGGGGCTGGTGCTATGAGACTTGGGTGGCATCTCTGATTGCCACCCCCCTGACCCAGAAATGGATTAAAGGGTAGAAAATGGATGGAATGGATGGATGGATTTAAACAGTTCTTCTTTAATGTTATATAGGCATTTTGGCTCGAATGAAAATGTACTTTTGTTTGAGATCAATATTGAAATGTTAAATGTTTCAACTATGTTATAACAATCTTTAATTATTATTATTGTATATGTGTATGTATATATATATATGTATATATGTATATTGCATGTGAGATATGCATAACTACACATTGTTGGGCAGTAATATGTCAGACCACTTCACTTATTTAAATCACACACCCTATAGTAACCATTCCTGCTATTACCTATTCATATCCTTCTCCCTTTCTCAGCTTTATATCTCCCACGAGCGCAAACACTTACAGAAGCACGCACACACACGCGCACATACACGCACAAACACAAACACACACACGCACACACACACACACTTACCCTACCCTAACCCCCCCAGCAGTACCTTTGTTGTTTATTGTACTGTAACTATGTATTATCATTGTTATCTGTATTCTGTGTCTTTTCCTGTATGCTTGTCACTTTATGATTGTGAATAAAAAAAATAAAAAAAACCCATCTTTAATTATAAGTCCTGGAGGTGGAATCGATCCCAGGACCTTCTTGCTGTGAAGCACAAAATGATCACCGTCTCGCCCTATATGATCCAGACTCTATGAAACTAAATAAGACGCCTCAGTCTGCGATAATCACCATAAGTGCAATCAGACCAAAGTGATTAGGAGAACATGCAGATACACCATGCTGTACTCGTTAAGTAGACTGCAGGCTTCTCAGTGTTTGGTGTCGCATCCTAATTAGAACAAATGAGACTTCCAAGTTTCCGATTGGAATTAAATAGTGAGGACAGCTAAACTGCACTTTTTGTAGATTGAATGTTTTGAGCAACGAACATAAAAGTAAATGTGTTTGGCTTATGGCAAAGTCTTTTACGACACCACCTGCTCCAGCGCTGGCTCTGATCAAGGAGCTGCAGAAACACAAACATCACCACAAAGTAGTGACGCAGCGTTTACACAGGCAGAACAAGCAACGGAGTCCTGACCATCCCTCTGGCCCCAGTAGCCTGACTAGAGCAGGTTTAGTCTAGGGCTGGGTTGGGCAATTATTTGTTTCAGGGAACCACATTGGGATATCACCCTTTTGTGGAGGGTCAGGACCATATTCATGTGGTTCTTTTTTAATTACTAATAACATTTTGGGTTCATTAACAAGAGAAGAATACATGTATAACATGCCATGGAAGCACATATTAAGTTACAGGCCTTTATTGGGGATAAGGTTACCGGATGAGAAGGTTCCCAGGGACCTGCCAACTCTTTAGTCAAGGTGGAAGGAGGGGTCCCCCAACTTTTTTTCACGCCAGCTGGTTTGTCATGATCCTAAAAGTGTCTCTGGAGAATCTGCAGGTACCGAGCTGAAATTATAAATGAATAAATCATTTTAACTATTAATAATGTTTAACCTTCACTGCAAGAAATCAGGGCCCAATTTGCCTGATGACGGTGTCAGGACCGAAACGCTACATTTTTCAGTAGAAATATCTTTTTGCAAGGACAGCAGTGTACAGGAAAATGGCATTGAATGTGCCATAACTTTCGAAGTATTTTTCTTCCCATATCTTATTAGCTCTGACTCATGTGCCTGAATATGAAGAGTTTGATTCCAAAATGCGATCAAACAGCATTAAAAAAAAATTGCTCCAAAATTAGAAGTGAATTTGGTCTGTACTGATAAACCCACGTTCAGGTAGAGTCATATGTTGACATCTTGGAGGCCACAGACAACTTTAGCACAGGGAGAATTGAAGTCAGTAATGGCAGTGACAGACACAATGATTTGGAGGATTTTGAACCAGAAGATCCAGTCATTCGTGATTTATGGTCTGTGTGACAAATAACATGATGTCGAAGATTTTGAAGGCTTTGACACGGAGTGGAAGACCAACAAGTACCACTCGAACTCCCGAGGTGAATTCAATTGCGCCCCAGGAAAAAACCGGCAGATGCTACACCTTTGGGGGTATTCAAACACATCTTCACCGTCAAACTCTGAGCGTACCTCATCACGGAGATCAATATTTATCGTGAACAGACCTAGAGCACCACTATTCAATATTTTCAGATTTCTACATCTCCAGAACAACAACGCAGGCAGGACAAGCTCTGGAAGATGCACTGGTTCCTGAATGACCTCACCTCACGATTCCAGGCACTGTATGAACTAAATACTCTAATGCCCATGGATAAGAGTATGATCAAATTCAAAGGGCGTCTCTCATTCAGGCAGCACCTCTCCATGAAGTCAACCAAGTGGGACATCTGGTGTGGGTCATGGCGGGGAGCTCCACTGGATATGTGACCAACGTCCAGGTGTATTGTGGTTGTGAAGGGAAACAGGGGAAGGGCCTCGCACACCATGTGGTCATGGATCTAGGCAGGGGTGTCCAAACCGGTCCAGAAAGGGCCGCTGTGGCTGCTGGTTTTCTTTCGGACCCAACAGGAGCAAAGTAGACTCCACCCATTTCCTCAAGAGAGTTCAGTCTTAACCTGAAGATTTGAGGAAATGGGTGGAGTCTGCTTTGCTCCTGCTGGGTCTGATAGAAAACCTGCAGCCACAGCGGCCCTTTCTGGACTGGTTTGGACACCTGTTACGGCCACTGACGGGCCGTATATCCTCCTCTCTCAGGTGGAAGCTGTGCTCATTGGTGCGCGTGCGTGACACACGGAGCCATGCCTTTAAAGCTCGTGCACATGCCAGAGATTGCAGTTGGCTCATCCTGCTCCCATCTTGACACCTGCGTGTCCAGCCTCCTTTTGTATGGTTTGGTTTGGTTTGATTGCTTGGTTCGTTATGGTTTATTTTCTAGACACCATTCAACACTGCAGAAATACGCTCACGGCACATACACTTACACGCACTCATTACAGACTTCCACACCTCATTAAAATATTAACTTTGCTTACTAATAAATATTATTTCAATTGGCAACTGTTTGGCGTGTTTCTGTCATTTCTATTGAGCCGGGTTATGACAGAATGGGGGCTCGTCAAAACTATTAGTTGGTAATTTGTTTGCTTGTTTTTTGTTCTTTGGTTTTGTGTCCTGCCCGGTGTTTGCAGTCCGGAGTGCTCTGGCGTGTGTGTGCGCCGTTGGGTGGCTTGAGAGCGGAGTCTCCCTCGGTGGCGCTGGGACGCTGTGGGTGGTCTCTCCGAGGCGCCTGTGTGTGTGGATGCGGGAGAGGCACGATATTTTTTTGGGAGTTGGAAGGATGAGTTTGGCCCGTGTTCAGCAGATCAAGGTGAGTGAAGTGTCTATTTAGCACCTAGATCCAGTGGTGATAGTTTGACCGGTGTCCCAGGTAGGCACAGGGACTGGCTCTTTTGGCTGCGTTTTTTTGTTTGTTTAAGTCGCAGGGAGCGGTTGGTGTTCGCCGTTTTCACGGCGTTCTCGGGTGCACAAACTGTGGTCACACTGGTCTCCCCTTGGAGTGCTTAAAACCCCGCCGCAGAACCGTGTGAAGATCAGGGTTGAGTCTAGGTTTAGCGGGACATTTGGTCAGCTGTGGATCTTTGTGGGTGTGCGTTTGCTTTGGGCACTTTAGCTCACATTGATTTTTGCGGGACTGGGTAGGGAATTAGAGAAGGATGGTGAATATCTCTGACTTTTTTGATGCTCCCTTTGAGGAGTTTTTGTTCCAAAGGTGGCAGGAGGAGCCTCACTCCTCCACTCTGCAGTCTGTTGGCTCTGACGCTGCGTTTGATGTAGGTCATTTATAAAAGAGATCAGTACTATTTATCTTACAATGGGGAATCAATAACAGTGCTGAGAGAAACTGAATTGTTACGTGATTATTGTGAAAGGTCTTTCAAGTGATTTTCATTTTATTTTGAGTAAATATCCTTCCACTTGTAAGAAGGAACTTTTGAGTAATAACTGAGGGTTACAACATACCCATGTGTTTTACTCATGTCACTGACGAGAAGGTCGACAAGTTGTCTTCGAGAGCGGTGACTTAGTGATCTCACAGAATTATAATCTTTAAGGATCTCTCGGTCATCAGGGTTTTCCTGCAGTTCCACCATCTACAAACACGTAGAAAATGTAAAATGACAATCTACAATTGTACCAAAAATCTTATGATACAAAATGCAGCAGTACCTCTTTAGCTGTGTCCTTCTCACACATGTCCTGATTGGATCTCCTTGCAACTGCCACAGAGGATTCTCCTTCAGAATTACCTGTATATTTTACATAATACAACTGTATTTAAACAGGTTTTTTTCTGTATATTTACCAAAACCACCCCGTTATTAAAACTAGTTTTTACAGTAAAAAGTACATGTTTACGCTTTTTATACATAACCACCTAATTATTAAAACGATCTTTTTCAGCTAAATGTACAGGTTTACTATGCTTTTTATAAGTTACCACCTTGTTATTAAACGATCTTTTTCAGTACAGTTTACAAGTTTAATGTTTTGTATGTACTTTGACATTTCCCTGAAAAATATTGCACTTTCAACATTGCTTAACTAAGAGCTGCATTAAATCAGTCATTTCACAAAATAAATGAAAATGAAACTTTACTGTATATTCAGTGACAACACTACAGTGCCAAAAGTCAATACTAAGACCGTTTTAAACAAATGTCAAAATATTTCACTGTAAAACACTAATGTCAAATAAAATATTCTCAAATATGCTTATCTTCATCCAAAAATAATTAAAACAAAAGACTTTTTTGGCTTGTATGATGCAATCTGATCCAAGCCATTACGCAAGCCATTTAGAATTTAAACTAAGTTGATTTTTTATGCAGATAAAAAGGAGGACCCATGTTGTGTGGCCGAATAATATAAGGGGCACTTGTATCGCGTACAACTCCTAAAGACTTCTCTCCCGCCCACTTCAGTCAATAGAAACTATAGAAATAAAAAAACAGCGTGACTAGCTCAGACTGGGGTCAAGCAGTTATTAATTTCCATTTTTTCCTTTTATTGATTGAAGTGAGCATGAGAGAAGTCTTTGAAGCGTTGTGTGTGGAAGTACTCCTCATATTATTCCGCCTCACAACATAAGTTATTTTTATTCCGCTTAGAAAATCAATGTTTAAATTCTGTGTAACTACACTTCACGTCACTGAATTTAAAAATAGAATAAACATGGCAGAGCTCGCTAGCTTCAAATGTCTCAGATGTGACATTACACAAAGAGCAAAAGGTGGGGTTAGGGTGAAACATTGAACGCCACAACAATATAAAACTCCATCGCAGCCCACAAACCTTACTTATTTCAGTCCATATTCAGACATTACACCACTCATGATCTGAAAGTTCTTGAATCAAGGTAAGGACTCTGGGGTTCACATTAAGACGTTTGGGTTTGCTTTTCTCCACTTTGGTTCCCTTCTCTGGGTTGATGGAGAAAAAAACACCTGAAATATATTTTTAAAAAAAATTACATTTAAAATACAAATGTGCTGCAATACAAACTGCTTAGCTCTGCATCACAGTGGTGCAGAGCTAAGCAGTCAAACACAGGTCATGGGTTAAAGGAATAGGCCACCGTGTTTACATACTGACATATGTTCTTACCTTAGACTAGTTGATATGTACCTGTCTGGTCTGTGTCCATGTGCTCTGTCATGCAAACGCAGCACAAACGCAGCCTCTTCCACATACTGTATAGTAACAAATCAGCTCCCGTTAGAAGCTACCAAACTCTTCCACGTGTTCCCTATTTAAATAAAGTTACATGACGTGTTACACTACTAAGTATAGTAACACAGAAATGTAACATGTCGATTTTCTCAGCGGATAAAAAGGGGCACTATATTGTGAGGCGTAATAATACAAGGAGCACAATGAGCGCTACGTCCGTGCACTAACTCCTAAAGACTTCTCTCCCGCTCACGCTGCTATTGACGGAAGTGAGCGGGAGAGAAGTCTTGGGAGTTAGTGCATGGACGTAGTGCTCCTCGTATTATTACTATACTTGGTAGTGTAACACGTCACGTAACTGTATTTAAATAGGGAACACGTGGAGGAGTTTGGGAGCTTCTAACGGGAGCTGATTTGGAACTATACAGTGGAAGAGGCTGTGTTTGTGCTCAGTTTGCATGACAGAGCATATGTCAGTGTGTAAAAACGGTGGCCTATTCCTTAAAGTCCTAGCTGCTTACATGTTTCCTCCCACATTACAAAATGAACACATGTAGGATTCACTGAAATACTTATGGAGGTCCTCTAACTACAGCCCATGTGTCTGAATCAAGTGTTGATCTTGTGGATCAACACTTGTGCTGCATTTTCTCCAGTTTGATTTTACCCAAATGTAATACCTTCTGGGGAAAAAAGAACAGCAACAAAAACTGAAAAAAGATACATGTTTCTATTATGTTGAGCTTTTGTGGATTTCTTTGTTGTGCTTTTATCCAATTTTAGATTTGGGTAAAACCAAACTGGAGAAAATGTAGTTTGATCAGGTGGGGGTTAAGAGGTTAATATACAAAAAGGCATATACCTCTGCAGAAACTCCAGAGTTGAGGCCAGTTGTATTGGATAATGGATGTTTAAGCAATAATAACTCCCAAACATCATGGAAATGGCCGACACAAAGGAGCCAACGTTGTCCTGGACAATCATACGATCCACACTCAGCATAAACCGGTTTGCAGATTAACAGGATTGTCCTTCAAGGAGAAACAAAACGAGTTAAATACAAGTAAAATGACATTTCACCAGGCAGAGCATTAACTCCTTAGCATCAATATAGAAATGGGTTCAAAGAATGGACAAATTAAAGCAAAAGAATAAAAGAAAGTTCTCACCACACACACAATGATGGTAGGAGTCATGGGAACTTGCTCCATTGGCACTTCTCCTGCCAGGCATGACTCTCTCTCCTCCAAGTAGGACAGCGGAAGCACCCTGTCTTTTGTGTCCTCTCAAGACTTTATACTTTGTCAGATCCTCAAGGAACCTTTTACATTTGTATTTGCACACGGTGTTCATGTAGCGCAGGAGCCTTTTCCCTTCTGATCAATACAAAACCGACAAGTAATCATCTTGGCAAACACATTCCCTTCAAACAATGCCTGTTTAGTGCAGATCTTAAACTAATCAAATGAATATCTTACCTGTATTCCAAACAGCCACAGAGCCTCTCCCCAGCCCGCACGTGCTCAAGTTGCGCTCTTCTGGTTAGCACGTTCGGCTAAACACGTGCCAAACGTATGGTTCTGAAAATAACCGGATATCAGCTTAATTGTTTTATGAGATGTTTATGCCAGAATGGCAAGATTTTGTCTACGTGTGAAATGCAACACCGTAAATGCAGTCCAGTTTCATGTCACCAGCATCACACAATGGTGAAATGCTCGATGCTAACTAGCGTTAGCTCTTCTAGCTAGCCACGGCTAGGCAGCACGATACTGAAACTAGCTGCCGGACAACGGACACATTTCAGAAAAACTAAATGTCCTTCTTCTGTTCTGTATCAAGATAAATTATCTTACCCGTGTTATCGGCTTCTCGAACGAATGCTTCTGTTCTTCACCAACGCACACTCACGCTCTCTGTCCAGTGTCGTGTGAAAGTTGCACACGGCTCTGATCCGGGGACTGACGTACACAGCGTTGACTCCGCATGTGTCTAAACTCTCACGATAGTTGATTATCGGAAAATAAAACGTCTTCTACAATCAAGGAGTCCAGTCTGAAAATAATATACAGATTTATATTTTGCATGGAAAATTATTGTTGTTGCACGCGTAAATACACTATTAATTAATTACTCCCCTTCCCAAAGTTACAAAAGCTTTATTTGGTTAAAAGATTAAACAAATTATTTAAATGTATTTATTTTAGTCATTTAAACTCAGAAAAGAAACACAAGAAGCACTCTACACACATGGAGAAATTTATTAAAAAAAACCAAACGTTGTTCTTGTTGGTGTTAATGTAGTGATTAATAATAATGAACATTTTAATTGCAGTTTCAGTCTTCTTCTTCTTCTTCACTATATCACACATTTACTCATACATTGAGTTTGTACCAATTTTTCGTGGAATGGGTTATGATTAATGACAAACAGGAGTAATGGTTAACTAATAAGTTAATTACTTGTAAACATTAGTTTCAAGTATTTTAATTTCTTTAGTAATAGACTCTTGATGTACATTTGACTGTATTTGCTTGTTTTTTGTTTTGCAGTTTTTCTGTGTTGAAACTACAAAGCAATGTTATAATTTTAACATACATTTTCTCTAAAAGTAACTATCTTGGATAGTAAAACTTCCAACTGAACATTACTGTTCATTAAACTGAGTTTGAGGGTTTTTCAACTTACAGTTTTTTTCAGTCACCATTTTACGGACATTTTCAGTACATTTCACTGACATTTTTTACAGTGTGTAAAGAGAGCATGGATCTAGAGAGTGATGATAACACCAACAGCCGTTTGTGTGTATGTATATGTTTATATATATATATATATATATATATATATAGCTGTGTATAGCTCACAGCATTCCCATTTACATGTTAAAGCCTCCTGTGGAGGAGGGAGGAGGGGACAACAAACTACCGTCAACAGCCGAATCCCAGAAGTTTCACAGTAATATACAGGGCCGAAAAGAGACGAAAATCACACTTTTCATGCAGTGGGAGTATGAATGCATTTTGACATGCTGTTTGACACACTCAGCGAATCGACGGAAAGGGGGAGCCGCGGAATCCCAGGTGACCGTGCCAACTTGCCTCGCTGACTATCAGAAGCATATAAAAGTTGCTGAATGTTGACAACATGTTGTCAACATTCAACATACCCTCGGCACGGATTATAAGGCCTGGACTCCACCGGGCGTGTCTCTGTTGACGCGCGTTGGCTGCTGTCCGTAAAACGGACTAGTGGTCAAACCGGCTGCAGCAGCACGCAGCTCTGGCTGTGCGTTTATCAGCCTGCTTTGTTTTTGTAGGAGACATGTTTGGGCATTGTGTGAATGAATGAATGTTTGGCTGATGGAGGAGTTATGTATTGTCGGCGTGCATGTGTGCGTGAGCGCGGGCGTGTGTGTGTGTGTGTGGTGGGAGGCGTGTGCGTGCATGTGTGTTTGGGCCTGTGACTGCAGCGTTTATTATGATCCAGCCTCTTCGTTTGTTTTCTACTTATTTAGCGCGTCATACACTTTTATCGGACCCAACTCGCCTCTCCGCGGCTTTAGGCAACAGGCAGCCTCTATAGTTTTAAATAGAAGAAGCAGTGTGTGATGTGCATGAGCTGTGGCTATGATCAGTGCAAAGCACAGCATTGAAGCATTGAGGACGTCGCGATGGATGAGGCAAAAGGGAGAGAGAAAAGAACTCCAACATATCCAGTGTTGTGAGATCTGTCTCTCATGAGTGCAGCTCTGTGTGTGTGTGAGTGTGTGTGAGTGTGAGAGTGTGTGTGTGTGTGTGTGTGTGTGTGTGTGTGTGTGTGTGTGTGTGTGTGTGAGTGTGTGTGAGTGTGTGTGTGTGTGTGTGAGTGTGTGTGAGTGTGAGAGTGTGTGTGTGTGTGTGTGGGAGCGCGCGGCGGTGAGGAGAGAGCGCCTCGCAGGTAGACGGGTCAGAGCGAGAGGAAAAAGAGCGAGGTGTATGTAAAGATTAGCGTATTAACATTACGCGAAAAATAAATGGTAGATTTACGATCAGGAAACAATTATTTAAATTAATACATGAAAAAAATTACACACGTTTGTTAATAATCATTGTCATTAACAAATATTTCTAACCAAGGACTACAGATTATATTAATACATGTTTAACAATGTTGTAAATATATTATTCCATTGTATTTTCAATGGAAAACGGACCCGACACGCGTCGACGGACGGAACAAATAGGATTGTTTCTATTTCGTCCGTACGCGTTCGTTGCACCCTCCGTTGACGGAATACATCCGACGTGCGTTGGACGGACGCATGCGGAGGCAGTGGAGCCACTTCCATTCACCCTCATGGAGATAACGGAGACGGAGATGAAACGGACATGTTTGGACGGATCCGTCGTCCGTTTTACGCACCCGGAGGAGTCGGGGCCTAAGCCTATGTAGTTAATGCAGGTGAGAGCTGGTCACTTGTCAGGCTTTTGCCTCCTACAAGAAAGAAGCCAAGGCCATGGCAGCAGAGGGAATGCTGGAGAGCTTAGAGATGCAGAACCCACCGTTGCAGCTGTATGAGAGCCTGCTCTGTGTAACCCAGGTCTCGGCCTCTGACCCTCACTGACAGCTTCAGGCAGTTCACTGGCCCTGCCACTTATGGCGCTGTAGTTTAAATATTGCCACCAGTCTATTGCACTTTCTGGCTACTTCCAGATGGCCCTTCCCTGCGTGGCATCCTAACTAAAAGAATTCTCAGCTAAATGAATACAGAGCCAAAAATTCCAACTTTCAACGGTGAGTTTACCAGTTTATATTCTTCCTGTTTGGCCGATCTGTGTTTGCGGCAATATATGTGTTAAACATGTGTACTTGTACTTGTAAACATGTGTAAAAGTAATCACTTCCGTGTTTATCGCGGTCCGGTTTTCACGTTTTAAAAGTACTTCCCACCAGTTAAACATCCACACATACAATAACTAACCTGGTATACACATGGTACACATCTCCACATCACCAGTTTATTGAAAGCTTATTTTGATCGTTTGATAAGCAGAGTTTATGCGCTCCATATGAGGATGAGCTACGGCTGTAGTAATAACATGACCGATTTTATATTGAGCAATAATGATTTGGATTTATGATCAGATCGATCTGTCAGACCGGCCCTATCCGGTAACACCAGCTGATCAGGGACACGTCACAACAGTCTAAACATGTGGTAATGATGCAGAATTAGCGTCTTCACACTTGTCTTGTTAAAGGAAACTTCTAAGCCTTAAACATAAAAGAAGGATTAATTCACTCTTAGATTTCATTCTGAGGACTGTGGGTGATCGGCCCCTCGGCCCTGTGTCTGAGGGAAACATCAGGGAAACATCAGGGCATCTGTTACGGAGCGCTGACCCACCTGGAGCTCTCTAATTCCATGTTATTTGTTATCGTCTGTATAATTACACAAAACAGACGTTTGGAGATTTGACGCGTGTCTCCACGTTGTTGTCTCATCAAAGATAATCCGCACGTTGTGTTTACCTTCATAAACGCACTGTTCTGAATCTGCACCTGTGAGCTCGTTTGGAGAGAGCTGTGAAATCCATGTCTTTCAATTCACATAAAATCTGATTTGGAACCGTACTAGAGTAACATTAGTTGTGTAAAAATAATAAGTAATGTATTTTTTAAAGTTCTAAAATGTTCTTGTATTTTTTGTATTCAATTGAAAGTTAGGGATGTTCGCCGTGATGTCAGCAAAAGGGTCACGTGATGCAATGGTGGCGTATGGAGAGAACACTGATTTAGAACAATGGTTGTGTAATACGGTGGACTGGGATGGCATGTGTTGTTTTTGTTTGCATGTTTTGGTTTGCAGTGTTTTTTTTTTTTTCACGCCCCCCAGTCGCCATGGTTACCCCGCACACCTGCATGCCCCGACTGATTGTCAATCAGATCACCTGTGTCTGGGGGCAGGGGGGCAGTACAAAACAGGCCATGCAGCGGGAGAACTGGCGCGACACCGGAGGTAGCACGGGTGTGCAGCAAGGCGGAGGAGAGCCCGGGAGGAGAGCCCGGGAGGAGGGACCGAAGGCAGCAAGCACCACCAGCGAGCAAGCCAGATCATGCAGCAGTAGAGCGGGGAGCTCTCCCTGTCCGTGAGTACCGCTCAACCGCTATAGCTCCCGTTGCATCAAGCGGCCTCGGGCCTGGGCTTCCCGGTGGATGTGAGCGGGAGAGCTGGCCCTCTGCCTTTCTGTCCAGGTGCTGGACCTGACCGGACACCATGAGAATGCTGCCCTTCCTCCCTCTACCTGCCGTGGCTACCGAGGATCGGACCCTCTGCGGACTGCCATCTTTTAATTTGTTTTAACCCTTTTTTTAAATTATTGTGTTTTAATTATTTTACCCTTTTTAACATCCTATTTTATTGGAAACACCCAGCTTTTAGTCCCATATAAATTATTTTATTTGGCACAACAGCACTTTTACTTTGCAGTTTTTAATCTGCCTCTTTCACCACCAATAACCTCATCCCCCATTAGAGTTGTGTCGTGCTGTGAGATCAGGTGTGGAAACAGATTTGATGAAAGTGATCCCAAGAGCTTCAACCGTGTTCCAAAAAGCATGAATCAAGAAGAAAGCTTTGGATTTCAGGAATTAGGCGCGTGAAGACCGGCGGAGAACAACGGGAGCTAGCGAGCCGTGTGTGCGACCAACACTACATCACCGGAATGTGCATTTTGTGTTAACTTTTATCAATAATTTAGTAAATGTTGCTGGTGAGTTTTTATCTCTAATGTCTTAATGAATGTATAAATAACCTGCCAGAATTCCTCTGGCACGCCCCAGAGTGACGCAGGCTGCTGTTTTTTACTGGACTTAAATCTATGGATTTGTTAAAATGGCTTCTGTCATATGTAACCAGCGTCCTGCTAACAAGCAAAGTCATGCCATCTCAGAGTATTCTTTTGTGCATATTGTTTATTTGGCATGATGTCTTTAGAAGTAAAGTTGTAATACATGCGGAATTCCCGGATCTGCACAGTGGACGAGATCCCATGATGCATTGCGCCAAATGTGTGTGTGGGTGCACAGAGGGACTGGGCCACGCTCTGCCCAATCAGAGCGGAGTTATGCGCTGTGTGAAGGACACAAGTGGCCGTGTTGGACGGGTTTTTGATGCGCGAACAGTGTGCGGCCTGAAAGCAGCATTAGAGCAGCAGACGATCGAGCAGTTTGTGGCAGTAAAGTGTGGATTTATAGAAAACTGAAGGATTTAACAAGAAAACAAGTTCAGGATGACAAGGGACACTAAAATCCCCACAAAATCCTCCTTCCCACTAGGGTTGGGCGATATGGGCCTCAGCATGTATCACGATTTTTGTTGGTATGTATCACGATATGACGATATGATAATTTTAACAAAGCCTCATATAAAAGCTATAAAAACTTAGCACTGATAATTTTAAACACACTTGCCTCAAAGTGCATTTACTGATTTATTGGCAGCAAAATGTGTAATACAGCTATTGTATATAAAACGTATTAACAAAACTGAATTGTAGAGAATTCTGTTTTGTACATACTGAAAATTGCAGGCAACATGTAATAAAGGTGAACATTTGTAATTTGTAAAATATATAAAAGTTTGTCCTTTGTAATATAAAAAGTGTAGCATTATCAAATAATTATTTGATCACTTTGGCTTATGTTTCCTAGTCCCTATATAGTCAAAATTATCAAATACTGTATATATTTTTTGTATCCTTTTGCGTTTCTATAATTATGTAATTATAACTTATTTGTAATTATATTGCAATGTAGACAAACACATGCATTGAAGTAAAATGAATGACAGTAAATAAAGCTTACCAATGGCACTATGAGAGAGAGAGCGAGCGAGTGTCCGAAGCAAGCCACTCCAGTCCAGTTGTTTAGGGCAGCTGCTTTCACAACATTAGATCCACTGTCGATAGTTACACACAAATGCTTCTTTTTATCTAGTTCCCAAACAACTCCCATATGTTTGAGGTAGCTCCGCGTTTTGGCACAATGTCTTCTACAGTCTGCATGTCTTCACCATGGTCTTCACCGCCGCCCTCAGCCATGTTTGCTCTCTGCTCTGTTGTTGTTGTCCCTGCACGCCGCTCTGCTACACGTGCCGCGCAGATGCATCATCAAAGTGCGCCGCACACAAACGTGTCTTCCGCTTGCTGTTTTCAGTGTTAAATGATCGTTTTCACCGGTATAAGGCATTTTCTTATCATTTAATTTACTTATACCGGTATACCGGTACAAAAAAAATATCGCCCAACCCTACTTCCCACTAAACATCCGACGTCCACTCAACCTCCAGATCACGTCAATATCGCGTCGGTCGGTTGTGACCTTTTATTCACGTCCAAACGACGTCTGTTTAAGGTGCGCATCTGGACGTAAAACAATTACCTCCCATAGACGTGGATATGACGTCCAATCACGACCTCCCCTAGACGTTGGAAAACAGGTCATCGGCCAACCTTCGCATTACGTCTTGATCTAGCAATACAATATATAGGCTGTAAAGCAGTGCATGCATGTCTGACGGTAGTGTAGGGGTTAAGCAAATGTGTGCGGCTGTAGCCACGTGAGTTCGAGTCCACGTGTGCGCTTCATTATATTTGTTTTGATTTTTAGCGAACAATTTCCTTCTGTTTGGTTAAAGACTAATAAACACTCAACATAGGATTACGTAGTGGCTGATAATAAAACTTGTGAATGTATGCATTTGTTGTGCTAACAATCTCAAGTTTGCAAATAAGGGGTGAACACCAAGCCCCGGCGATCCAAGATGGCGCCCTATTCAAATGAATGGTTGTGCTCAGTGGCGCTTTGTGACGGCATGGGGGCTGAAAGATTAGCGGAAGTTGCCTGAAACTCGCAAAGATCTATGGAAAACTCGCCTGTATTTGGGCATCGTCTGGTCCTCCCGGTTCTGCGCAGTGGATGATCTCCCATAATGCGTTGCGCCAAACACGCGTGTGTGGGTCTCACACCGGGTCTCACGCACGTGCACAGAGGGGCTCGGCCGCGCTCTGACCAATCAGAGCAGTTCATCAGAGCGGGAGTTAGAGCGAGAGCCAGAGGAGCAGAGTTTGTGGCACTAAAGTGTGGATTTAAACAAAACCGAAGGATTTAAGAAGAAGAAAAGTTCAGGATGACAAGGGACACTAAAATCCCCACAAAATCCGATCTTTATTAAAGCTGTAGGTTCTCTGTCAGCTGAGGTTGAGCTGTTTTAATATGCATTGAGTTCTATGGGGAAAATTTCTGGGTAGCCCACGTGAATTTGGTCTGGTTCAGTCTGCAGTACCGCGAGAATCCCCTGAGCACGTGAGTTATTCAGCTACAAGCTAGTAATACCCTATCCAGTTAATATAATACATCCATGGTGAACACTTGAGATTGTATGTGTGAGAGCCGGGGGGAGCACGTAATTGCAGTAAATGAAACTACTGATGCGTTTACAAAATTAGTCCCGACACGTGTTCGTTCAGCCCAGGTCCCGTCAGCGTCTCGGGTCCTGCAGGCACAAAAGCACAGCGGCAGCGGAGTGGAGGCCAACAGCAAAGCTACACCGACATTTCGTCC